GTACCATTCCTATAAGATTATTTATTAAAATAAAAATAAATAAAGCATACATAAATGGAAAGTAAACTTGACCATTTTTATTGTTAATTTGGTTTACAACAATGCTATGGATAGTAGCATATAATGTTTCTTGACTTAAAGATCATTTGTTTGGAGTAATTTTTGAGTGGTTAGTTGCTAAAATACTAAAATAGAAAGATATGAAAGCTGCTATAGTCATGTATAACCCTATATTAGTAATAGATAAGTTCATATTTGCTAATAATGGTGTATCTATGCTAAATAAGTTTCTTATTTCAAATTGGTCTAGAGGGCTTAATATAGTTTGGTATTTAAACATATGTAAATATTGTGTATTACTACAAGTATAAAATGATTTTTTCGAAATGTTTGAGAAAAAGTTGTAAAATATATTAATAGTTACCTACCTAATACATTACTATTAAATATTATAATATATAAGATTATGCTGGTCAAAAGATGTCTTAATACAACAAATTAAGTTATACTCTATTTTAAAGTGTATAATGCAGTTATTATTGTATTATACCTGACCATCCATAATTATATTATACATAGCATGGGAAAACAAGTTACTAATTATAATGTAATTATGTTTTTTGAACATGTATTTTCATTTAAGTTGTATAAAGATATATTACTTGGATACAAATAAGCCGGGTCATGTACGTAATATTTAACTAAAATAAAGATTAATTAAGGCTTTTTATTTCATATTTATAATAAAATACTAAAAGTTTTTATTGTTTTAATTTCTGTGAATTACCCAAGCTTGTACCTTGCTTTTAAAAAGCTATGTTTAAATCTCTGGACTTCCCTACTATTTTCTTAAAAATATTAAGTATAATAAAATTAAGATGAATTACATTTATATCACAAGTTTAAAAATAAAGTTCTTTATGCTTTTGTTTATAGCTAGTTACCTGAAGGGGACAAAGATATTTAGTAAGTTTTGTATTATAAATATAACAATGCTCATAAAATCACTAAATAAATTTACTAAACATCTTCCTTAAATTATTCCGGAAAAATATTTGTGTTTGCTAAGTATTAACCTAAGTATTTAAGTTTAGGATCCTCAATAATATATAGTTACAAATAAGAATAATCATACAACATCAACAAAATGTCAGTAAAGTATTCCAGCTTCTAATCCTAGATGATGGTTATTTGTTAAATGATATGCTAGTACACGTCATAGACCAACAGCTAAAAATGCTGTACCTATCATTACATGTAATCCAT